GTGTGTGTGTGTGTGTGAACAATGAGACAGGTTGTCTTACAAGGTCATGCAAGAACATACTGTAACGTTAAATGCTGCCTCCAAAAATCACATTATTACAATTCTTAAATCTGTCTTTTTTTCATTACACCCTATGATCTGTGTGTCTATATAGGGTGTCACAACAACAATTGTCAAGTCTGCACATCAAGCCAAAACACAAACAAACACTTGACCTCAAGTTATTTGTTGATGCTCAATAATTTCTGGTATCTTCATACCAAAACCACAGTTTTAACCATATGATTTTTTGTAGATGGTCGATAAATTAATTTAGCTTAACACAGTATTCAGTCTGGGATATGTATGAGCTGATATACAAATATATAACCCTGGTTGACATTGTCTGTCTTAGTCTTTATCATGCAGTATCTGGCAGAACTGTGGTAGCCCACTTGAAAGAAATCAGTAGTTTGCAAAACAGTGGTGGCTTGTGTTCATCAGACCTGAAAGCGGAGCAGAAGAAAGTAGCAGATGAGGAAGAAGAGAGCAGGAGGCAGCTGCAGCTGGCTGATGGAGGGCTAGATGTGGAGACAGGGAGCAAAGAAAAGGTGGAGAAATGGGGAGAAAACAGAGGGGAGGAGGAGGGGCGCAGATAAGACGTAAGCATGTCTCCTCCTAATGACAGAATTATGACCCTGCTCCATCTGCCACTCAATCATAACCAGCCAATCGGAGCCGCTCTCCAATCGGTGCTGGTTCCGTTAGGCACTCCCATCTGTACTCACAGCAGAATTAAGGATATAATCAAATGCTCAGATGTCAAGGAGATGGGAGACTCATAGCTTGGGCTTGAATTTTGTCATGTTTCCAGTGTGTGTGGCGAGCAATACTGCTTGTGGCTGTGATCATTTTGTTTGTGCTCCTATATTGATGCAGAATGGAAGTTAAGAGAGACGGAGCGTTTCCTTATGTCTGTCGTATTCAGATGTCTTACAGTGATCAGTAATTTCAATTTTGAGTCATGCTGCATCTTTACTCTCCTAGTGAAAGCCGTCACATCCTAATCAGAATCTGGCATGTTAAGAGCCTGCCATCCTATGCTTCTGCCAAGACACCATAATGTGTGTGACTGGCTGTATGTCTTTGTGTGTATAAGGCTGCTGAAAGAAAAGTTTTGCATTTTGCACGGATCAAATCACCACTTTCTAATTTCCTGAATACCATGGAATGAATTTCTCCTTTTGATTGATTTTTTTGGGCTTTTCTTTGCCACTGTGCTTCTCCTCTTCACCTTTCCCTGTCTTCCTCTGCCATAAAATTGTGCCACTGTCTTTTGCCTGCCTGAGTTGGAAGAGGCCAGGGTGGGGGTTGGGGGTATTTGAATGATTTGGTATGCAGCGACAGCACCATTCTGTTTCATTGCAGGAGCCTTCGCCTTATCTCCTTAATGGATTATGAGCAAGGGAACAAAAACAGAGGGAGGCAGAGTGAGAATGATTGGACTCCCTGCAAAGGGCCGGCAGGAAACGGACTGCAGCCAGATAAATAAAACACTCTGCCTGTACATTTCCTCAGCCCCTGAATCACAGATGTTATTACGAAAGAGGACAATAGGAACAGCTTGTTGTCAAGAGTCATTTGAGCTTCAGTAGTCTTTGCATTCTGATTTACCTGCTTGCTGGTGTTGGTATAGATGTGTCAGCTAGTCGGTTCGGCTGGGGTTGTGTGTTAATTTGTTTTCGGAGGCATTAGACACTATCTCTTTCTTGTTTGTCTGCAAGAAAAAGAAGGCAGCAACAGAATGTTTAAGTAACCTTAGCTGTCAAGCAACTCAGTTAACCTGTCCGTGGTCTAAATGTGGATGCTTAGAGACAAACCCAGTGCATTTGCTGTGCATGGAAGCTGAAGCTTTGGTGTCGATTAGTGCTGCTTTAAAAGCTGTCTCCCCTTTTTCTTGCTGCTAGAGTTCTGAAATCAGTATTTTAGTATAAACTTGATTCAAGAGGATAAGTGAAATGCTGTATTGAGTCATCATAGCTCTGCGTATGAATGATTACCATTTATAGTGTGCTGCATATCTTCAACATTAAGAGACCTGTTGATTTGATCACCGTCATCTGCAGAGAACAGTGGGTGTTTCTTTGAAAAAGGTCATGTGCTTCACATGTTTAATAGCTAATTCTAGTGCTGAATAAATAAGGTAAAATAGTCATGCTGAATGGTGAATGATTTTCCAAACAGAATTAAACACTCCAAGGCTGCAGCACTGTACTCCCTTGATGCTGAAGGGTTATTTAGATTGAGCTGTTTGCTGCTAGTGCCAAGAATCTTATGTTTGAAATGGTATTGATCAAGAAAAGACAGGTTGGCTTGAAAAGATTTGACCTTTTTTGGGGCTTTTAGTCAAACAGACATAACATTGTTGATATTCTGTGATGCCTAGGGTTAAATCCAATATGCTTTAGCCATTCGGTTTATTTGGGAATAAACCTTGCTTTAGCCTATAGTTATGACCATGTTTCATTTTTCTTCTAGTTCTATTTCTCTGTTTTAATTTAGAAATCCAAGAATTCTTTCCACAAGACATGTTAGTGTATCTTTACACCTGCCAGCTATGATGTTTTAACAGATAATTAGCTTTTATTTTCCTTCCTGTTAAGCATTTGTTCCTGATATTTCCCTGTATATTCCCTTCCCATACAGTTGCTGTATGGGAGCTGAATGTGACATTTTAAACAGTAGGAGCTGTTCTTTGTATGTCATTGTGGTTGTAAATATGTAAACACTGCTGCTCTACCTGTGTTCAAGTGTTGATAGTGTTGTTGTTATTTATGTGCTTATGTGTACAAATGTGCTGCAAGTGGATTGGATACAGTTGTGTTTAAGCAGAAATTGTAGGCATTTTAGTGATGACAGTAAAGTGCCACATTGTTTTCTGCTTATATTATACTATACAAGGGATTTAACATACAAAAAGTGTTTTGTTATGAATTTTCCATTTTTATATTGTGAATGTTTTTTGCATGTATGGATTGTCACGGTGTGTGAAATGGTTTGCTCTGTATTGCAGTCTGATTCAGAAGTTACTTAATGTTACCATTGTTTACCAGCATTAGCAGACGCTTATTGTGGTCATATTTCTTTTGAATCAATTGATCTGCAGTCTTGGCAAGATGTGTGCACTAATTCCTCCAGTAAGCTAAATAAATACTTTGGTCTGTTTTTGTGATGCTGTATACTTACATCTGTGTTGGAATAATCTTTGGCTTTGGGATTTTACAGGCAACACAAAACATTTTATCCTGTAGCGTTTTTCCAGGTTTATGTCTGACCCTCTCTGCGTGAGAGCTCAGATTCTTTTTTATGATTTGAGTACAGTAGAAGACGAAGAATTCAGTTGAAGCCTTTTCTGCCAAACAGTTCTTTGTGTGTTCCATAAGTACTCCAGAGGAAAAAAAAGCATTTGTGAGAGCAATAGCCTTCGGGGGTTGCGCCAAATGAAAATGCTTTTTTTTCTAAAACCCCCCACACCTCACTCAAGAAGTGTTTGCTTGTTTTCTGTTACTATTCGCTCTCTCTCTCTCTATCTCTCTTTCTCGTTTTTTACCTTTGATTTGAACTCTGACATCCAAGTCTGCCCCAGGATGTCTGTCACAAACTGCAGTCCAACGTTGTGACAATGCTTTTTTTCTTCCCGTGCCTTTTATGACCTTCTTTTCTTCCTCTTTCTGTTCTTTTTTTCTGTTTTTTCCCTTTCAAGGTCTGGCGCACCTGACGTTAAACGACCAAGGTATGGGTTCATTCCTTTTTATTTTGGTTCTGTTTTTTTTAGAGGAATTGACTCAGCCTCTTTGCCCCCAACCCTCGAAACTGCTGCTTTTCCTCACAATTTCCTCCTCTGCTTTTTACCTTCTCTCGGTACCATGTCTCTCCATTTCTTCCCAAATCCTCCCTTGTCTTTTTAACCCTTTGCAACATCCTCCCCTGTTGCTGCCCCCTTTTTCCTTTCCTTCAACATCTCCTCATCTTTTTTTTGGTTGTGACTCCTGCTTCTCCTCCCTCTCCCTGCCGCCATGTCTTTGTGCTTTTCTGTGACCTCCACCAATGTGTGTCCCACCCCTTGTCCTGTCCTATGGCTAACGTCCTGGACCTTCACCTCTGAACACCTTTGACCCCGACGACCTGACCCTGGGGCTGAAGGTAACACTTTTCTGCTATCCCTTCTGCTTGGGTTTAACAAAAAAAACAAAAACAACAAAAACAAACTGCTGATTCTATTGGAAATCACTCCAAGGTGAAAGTGTTGTTGAATGTGCAGAGTTTCTCATCACCACTCTGCTGACATTCCCATTGTTTGGCATTCAGATTTTTGGGCTACAGTTCAAGTTTTGATTTAACCTCAATTTATATGTGTTAGACTTCCTTTTTATAAAAAAATGTGACTACAATTGTTTTGATGTTGCTATGAACACTGGATGTTATTGATGCTATTTTGTGTACATTTACAGCACAAATACATCTTCCACCACAGCTGTTTAATCTCTGCCACAAACACACTTCTCTCTATCCCTCAGACTTTCCTCATCTTTTGTGCATATGAAATATTTTTCAAAGAAGGTGTTTAAATCATGAGCAACAGACATTTAATGTGAAAATGCGATGCCATTTTGTGTACTTTTGCTGCCAAAATGCATTTTAAACTGCACACCAAGCTCCAATGTGACTATTTACTCTCCATCACAGTTATGTTCTTCTTATATTCTGACCTTTCTCTGTCTCTGGCCTCCCAGTGAGGACTGTCCATTAAATAAAAAGTGTTAAAGCAAAGTTCACAAGAGAATAAGGAAGTGAGCAAGTGCAGTAGCTAGTGAATGTTTTGACCTTTACTGGTGTGGAGAGAGCTTCCCCTCTTCACTCATCATAGTTTGTGATTCATGCAGTCTTTAGCAACAACCCTTCACTCTGTTTCACTGACAAATCTGAAGTTTTTTCTTATCATCTCAAGATAATGAACTCTTGAGGGAAAACTCAGGTTTCACTGGCAAATTCAGAAAGTGACTCATCTTGTTTTTAAAAGATCACACTGACTGGTGAACCCTGTTGAAACATTTGTTACCTTACCCAATATTTGGTGTGGAGCGAAACGTGTAAAGCAGAATTTATATTTCAACATTATATCATTACTCTTTGTAGTTAATTTTCATTGTAGCTTAATTAGAAAACTGAGATGAGAACCTTAGTTACTGCTGAAGAAATTAGATAAATGCAGCTACAGAATCAAAGTCAACTGTACCGTCTGTTATTAGACTCTAGGCTTATGTGATTGATATGATCTTTTGTTTTACATCAGCTGTCACTGTCTCTTTTCCTCCACTCTGAGCGCTGTCTCTGTGTCTGTGTCTGTGT